AGAATCTTGAAGGGCAGCAGCATAAGCAAAAGTGTTTATTTACTCTTTACATACTGATGTAGACAGTTCACTCTCCGGTCTTCATTTCAGTGGGTGATGGGTAATGTGACCAGAGGGCCACAAAGGACAGAGGCATCGAGAGGAGCAAGTGGAGACGGTGCAATATGACGACAGTGCACCTGGCGTAGACTACGCCTTGGGAGCCATAGGGAAGCGTCTCTCTGGCAGGCAGCAGAAGAACTTTCTTGGAGAATGGGGTCTTGTTGGCTAGGCTAGGCTAAATTAGGCTAAGCTACAGCAACAATCACCAAAAATCTGCAGCTTTACAGAGAAAGTTTATTTACCAGTCTTGTACTCTAGTGCAGGGCAGGAAGCCCACCCCTGGATGTAGCCTTCCCTCTGGATCTCACAGACTCCAAGGCTGCATGCAGCACCAGAAGGAGATTGAGCTGGAGGTTTGCATGGGATGTTTTTCAGGGCCAGGCCTGAAAGTGGCACAGGTTAATTCAACAACATCTCATTGCTATATCCACACTCACCTGGCCCCAACCCCAAAGGAGGCTGGGAAATGTAGTTTTAGCTATTTAACTGCACACCAAAGGAGAGGAAACTGGTGAAGAGCACACAGAATGTCCATGGGGGAAAGGGTGACTGCAGAGGAGCAGGGCAAAGGGAGCAGCTATATGGCAGCAAAGGAAAGTCTATAGAGCTGATTCTCCTGGGGCCTCCGGCCTGGGATGTGCAGCAGACACCGGCCTTCCCTATATTAAGGCACACTATTCACTACACTTGGCTAAATAGAAAGATGGCACATTCAAGTGCAAATCAGTCAGCCATGGCATGCTAGAATCCACACCTCTGGATTAGCTATGCTACACTTTTTGCACAGGCAAAGTTCCTGATAAATTGGAATCTGAGGAGAATGAAACAACAGGGTGGTGGATGGTATGCCCTGAAATTGCATGTTTCTGGTAGGGCACTGGCTGGAATTACTTGAGGACCCCAAGCCGCCTCCTCCATGCACCCTCTTACAAACCATACCAAAGGAGAGAGAACAGGGCTGGCAGGAACTCCCAAGCCTCAATTCTCCACAATTGGGTTCGTGGCCGACAGAGGGAAAAGGGGACTTTTGCTAAGTGAGGGGCACACCTACTTGTAACTCATCCTGTCCACTACCTTCTGGGTCAGAATCCCTCAGGCCAAGATTCAAGTAAAGAAACAATCTCTTAAGACACTTGCCTTTTAACAACACTGTAGCTGTCCCCCACCTCACCTCCACCCTGGGGTCTCTACAACCATTGCCTGATACTGCCCATTAGGACTGGCAGGGGAGGCTCTGGAGGTTTCTGACATGGGTGTTTGGACTTTCCAAATAGCCTAGTAAATCCTAGCTCTGGGCTGTGACACCCATGGGTGTGTCTGGTTGCCTAAGTGGGAATTTATCAGTAAGTCTGTAAATCAAAATATAATTTATTGCTCATTCATGGCTTAAAAAAAAAAGAAGAAAAAAATGTATAATTTAATTTGGCTTACATCAGTATTTATAGGAGCAAGAGGGCTTTTCCTGAGGGGGATTTTGGCCCAGAAGCAGAGACCCCAATCCTGCCCAGTCTTTCTTTCTGCCCTTTTCTCTAAACTGCCCTTTTCTCTAAATGATGAGCATTGCTGTGTTCCTTGTCACTGATGGAGGTGGCCCATCAGCCATCAGCCCTGAGCCGGGACGAACTGCCATACTGAAGGGGCTTGAGAATGGGCACATCACTTGAGCAGACATCGAATGGGCACATCACTTGAGCAGACATCAAGCACTGAACTAGCACAGGCCCCAGGATATTAGGTAGAAGGGACCAGGGGCAGCAAGGCAGTTGGAGCAACAGGGCTGGGCTTGGGACTGGTCTCAAAGCAACATTTCTATTATCACAGCTGTACTGTTTTAACTACACTAGATCTTATTGGAAGGGGAGAGGGTGAGAAAAACTGAGAGGGAGGTTAATCCTCCCCCGACCCCTGCCCCACTTTCCCCCCTCTGGAGTCTACCCCTTGGTTCCCATTCAGATTTGTCTAGGTAAATGGTTGGGACACATATCCATTCTAGTGGCAAGCCATGCTTACCTTGGAGCTGGTGCACCCTACCACTGCCAGTGTGCACCGTCTGTCTCCACCAGGGTTAAGAAGGGGCAGTGGGCCGGGCGCGGTGGCTCAAGCCTGTAATCCCAGCACTTTGGGAGGCCGAGGCGGGTGGATCACGAGGTCTAGAGATCGAGACCATCCTGGTCAACATGGTGAAACCCCGTCTCTACTAAAAATACAAAAAAAAATTAGCTGGGCATGGTGGTGTGTGCCTGTAATCCCAGCTACTCAGGAGGCTGAGGCAGGAGAATTGCCTGAACCCAGGAGGCGGAGGTTGCGGTGAGCCGAGATCGCGCCATTGCACTCCAGCCTGGGTAACATGAGTGAAACTCCATCTCAATAAAAAAAATAAAAAAAAAAGAAGGGGCAGTGGTCTCCCTCTCCTAGCCTTTTACCCAGTAAAGGGGCAGAGGGAGAGGAGAAGAATACCACTGTCCCTTGCCTTGATTGTATAAATGTATGAGACTCTGGACACATTGAGGGACCCTGAATACCTGTATTGTGACATGAAGCAGCTTCCCTGGAGGACCAGAGGGGACCACAAGAGCAAAAGACCTTTGGAAACTGTAAGGCACCCAGATGGAAGGAGTGCCCCTCCTCTTCATTCTAATGCACCATCTGCACCTGTTTTCACTTTATTCTGAGGCTTGCTCCTATTCTGGTTAACATGTCTTGCCTTGGCTGGGTCCACCTGGACGGACCCAGGGTGGAGTTCTTACATTGTTCTTGCCATTCGTTCTGGTAGATCATCAGCACTGATGTTCTCAAATACGAGGGTATCTGAGACAATGAAACAGGTTCTCCTCCCCAGGGCCAGCAGGGGGCCCCGTGACCTTGTGAGAAGACTGGCTGCCATCTGGAGAGGGAGGGCTGGTCCCATCAAAATGAATGTCATTCCCAGGGCCTTTGATTCCCACCAAGCAGGAGCCACCATCGAGTGTCCTAGCCAGAACCCTTTTCTAAGGACTCCCCATAGGCCCTGGGGACTAGGTGTTTCATCTGCAAGAAGAGAGGGAGACTCTGGGGCACTGCTGGTGCCCAGGTTGTTTCCTGCTTTATTTTGTGTGTGGTGTGCTTTGCAGGCACCTTTTGAGTGTCTGTCACAGCCCTGCTTCTCCTTCCCATCCAGGGAACATGATGGGTTTGCCTCTTAGGTCCTCATTAGTTTTTGCAGCAGCCGCTCCAGGTTTTCTTTCTCTTTGTACATAACAGAGAACAATTGGAGACTTGTTTTCTAAAGAGAAAAGCCTGGCATTTGAAGAAGGTTTTCAAAACTCCAAGAAGACAGAGAGGGATCACATGAGTGTGCAGGGGGATACCTGGCCTTGGGGGCCTCCAGCCAGCTGCCCATGAGGGCCATGGTCCTTGTCCTCTCATCCCACTTTCCATTTCCAGTGCTTCTGTACTAGACCATTTTGGCCGAAGACTTAGAGAACTAGGCTCTAGCCTGTCACCAAAAAAACCCCCTTTGTGGCTAGACTGAATTATACTCTTCTAGAAATTCTCCAGATGCATTTCCTGAGTTAAGGGGAAAAACCAGCATCTGGAAACTCAGGGTGTGTTCTGATGTCTGCTGGTGAACAGCAAATTGACCCCAGAGCAAGTTATTTCTCAGGTATACAGTTGTTTCTTCCTTGTAAATAGTTGCAAAAGGGAAAAGGTGTTTTAAGGAGCACTTTCAAACTCATTATATACGGGTTGCTTAGTACCCAGCACCTGTAGCCAGAGGCTGGTGGTCTGTTTGCTGTCATTCTCTGCTTTTTCCTTGGTGCTTTCCGGAGGCTGGCAGGTTGAGTATGAAGGAACCAGTTCCAGGCTCAGCTGTGGCCTTTAGTCAGCTGCAGATCAATTCGATGGGTAATTAAGAAAAAAAAAAATCGACCTGGGTCATGCTTTGTGACAGCCCGACCAAGATCAAGATGACACAGTAATACCATCGTAATCCCAGATTTAATATAATTTTCACAATTGCATATTAGTACTCGAGACACTATAGCTAGAAAAAAAAAAACAGCCCCCAATGAATCATTTTCATCAAATGTACTAGTAGAGATCATTTTTCATGACTCCTTAGTGGTCCCAACAATTATGTTCATTGAAAGTACTGTCATGAATGTAATTGGGACTCAGGCACTGGAGAAAAAATACCCTTAGCTTGGCTCTTTCTGCTTTTTTTCTTTCAGAGTTTGTAAATTTTGACCAACAGACATGGTTAATAAGACTATGCTTTCTTAAAACCTATATTTTATATTTATTTTTAAATGTTTTTGGCGACAAGGTCTCACTATATTGCCCAGGCTGGTCTCAAACTCCTGATCTCAAACCTTGGTCTCCCAAAGTGCTGGGATTACAGGCGTGAGTCACCACACCTGGCCTAAGGGTATGCTTCAAACAAACTTTTTTTAAAAATGTGTTGATATATTTTATAGATATGCATTTAATACATTGCCATTTTAGGAAAGCGATTCCAGCTCAGTTTTCTGAAATCTGTGGCAACAAATGTGTGGATATATCAGAAATAGTATTTGCTTTTATTAAAATACATTCTATGTGCCTTTTGATTCCTTTTTGATGGAAAGGCATCTTGCACTTTGACATATACACACACACACACACACACACACACACACACACACACACACACACACA